GTTCCTTCTCTCCAACCCTGAGCAATCACCCGTCTACTTTCTGTGTCTATAGACTTGCCGATTCTGGACCTTTCCTACAAACGGAAGCATACCACGTGTGGTCTGTGTTGACTGGCTTCCCTCACTTAGCATGATGGTGTTGAGGGCTACCCATGTCATGGTGTATATCAGTCATGCACTCCTCTGTATGGCTGAGTGGTATTCTGCTGTGTGGATAGACCCCATTTGTTCATCCGCTCCTCCTTGATAGGCGTTGGGTGGTTTCCACCTTTTGGTTACTGTGAACAGTGCTGCCCACATGTACAGATTTTTGTTTGAACACCTGTTTTCAATTATTTTAGATTTTAACATTTTAGAGAAGCGAAGGGCGCACGTGCACATGTGGCTTGTCTGTGAGAGCTAGGATCCGAAAATCAAGCCCATGGGGTTCGGGCGGGCGATATCGTGCACGCACCCACTGATTCACGTAGCGTTTGCCAGCTGAGCACCCACTGTACCGTGCCACGGAGGTGACAGGGAACCAGACAGAAAAGGGCCCCAGCCCCAGGAGCATACCCTCCAGGGGGGAAGGCCAAAGAGAACCCTGCAGTGAGGCATGAGCAGTGTGATTTCAGATGATGGTGGGGTCTGTGCAGGACCTGACACAGCGGACGAGGGAGGCCCAGGGGTTCGGTTGTCCTCTGGGCGGGAGCTGGCCTCTGGGGGGAGGCTTGGATGCCTAGAAGGAGACCGGAGGGTGTGTGTGCCCATGAGTGTGTGTCTCTGTGTGTCCACGTGTGTGTCTGTGCCAGGGGAGAGCACTTCACCCGGCGTGTCCTGCAGGGCCTTGTCCACCTCAGGAAAGAGGATGTTCTTGGCCCTACAGCAGTGGGCCCCTCAGAAGCCTGGTGCTGCCTGTGGGTGGGGTGCCAGGCGGGGCAGCAGGGGGGCTCAGAGGCCCTGGGGCTGCTGTCATCTTCAGGAGGAAAGAGGTGGGTCTGGGCGGTTGAGCCAGGTGAACAGGGTGTAGAGGTGTGGAGGTGTGGCGGGGGCAGTGGGGTCCCGGTAATCAGCTGGGGCCTGGGTGGCTGAAGAGGCCAAGCTGGGAGGAGAGAGAGTTCTGGAAACAAGCCCCACGGCCTTCCGGCTCCACGACCCACCTCCACCCTCCCCAGGGCCTCTCCTCACCCATGCATACATCCTGCCTCAGTGAGGCAGGAGACCCTTTCCTGACTGCCTCTTGCTACACGTGTTTATGTTTACGTCTGTTTCTTCTACTAAGATGGAAGTTTCCAGAATATGGGAAACGTGCCCTTTTTTGCTCCCGCCGTATTCCTATGTCTCACAGGGTTCTTGGTGCACAGAGTTTCTCAATAATGAGCCATATGTGGCCAGCGAGCCCTCAAAATGTGGCCAATGCAACATGTCAAAATAGTATTAGTTTGGATATGCTGGTTTAAATGAAATATATTGTTACAATTATTCTTACCTGTTTCTTTTTACGTCTTTTATTTTTTTATCTTTTAAAGATTTTATTTATTTATTTGAGAGAGAGAGAGAGCGAGCATGGGGAGGGGCAGAGGGAGAGGGAGAGGCAGACTCCCCGCTGAGCAGTGAGCCTGACATGGTGCTCAGGGCTCGGTCCCAGGACCCCAGGTATTGTGACCTGAGCCGAAGGCAGAGCCACCCAGGCGCCCTCACAACATTCATTTTTAAGGGAAGACTGTGCCTTTTTCTGGCAGTGAATGCCACCTCATCTTCACCCTCAGTGTTTGCATCAAATACTCCCCCCAACCCCCACCCGCAACTGCAACCCAGTTTTCTTGAGTGCCTGTTGCAGTGGTGGACCTGTGTTCTTGCAGACCAGAAGTGGACTTGCATGTGTTCAGTTCTGCTTTAGCTCCGATAGCTCTTGCTGTGTGTTCTCCGGAAAAGCTGCGCTGACCATCCCTGCCACCTGCTCTATACCGTGAGCCTGGGGCAGTGCCCTGTCCTCCACGTCTTTAACAACCCTGGATATTATTGCTCTCCTCACCGTTCTGTCTGACGGGAGTAACAGCCTCTCATTCTGGTTTTGATGTCCAGTTTTTTGGATCCCAAATGAGGTGCTTTTCAACATTCAAGTTTTCTCCTCTCCTCTGCTCTCTCTCTCTCTCTCTGAGTGCATATCCTTTGCCTGCATTTTTATTTTGAGGGTTTTTTTCCCTTTTTTTCACCTCTTGGCACTCTGTGGGCTTAGTGTCTAAGTATATATGTTTTGAATGTATGTTTTGTGATATTTTGATTCATTTTTATTCATGATGGGCTTTTCCCTGCATCTAATTTTTCAGTGTTTGTGGAGACAGATTTATTAATGTTTTCTTTCATATCCATTGGCTTCTTTGTTAAGTTGAATGGGACACTTCCCATCCCACGATTATAAAAGTATTCACTATGCTGTCTTGTGGTGAAATGAGCAAAGGAGCTCTCTACCTGCTCCAGACGCTTCCTCCCATCCTCAGCTCAGACATATACTCGGTGTCCTTCAGCAAACAGCCCCTAAACACAAGATCTGGACCAAAAACTGAACACAAAGGAGGATTTTGTTGGAGCTGATTATTTCTGAGGGAAAAACTAAACCATCTCTGAAAACTGTTAGGATGTCAGCTTGGCCCCAGTTGCCAAATAAAACCCTAGGGCAGTCACCTACCATGGACTTCCCCCCTGATTAATGACCTCCGAATGCCAGGCTTGAGTCCAAGTTCTGTAGACATTGACATCCAACTCAGGAAGGGAACGGTTTTCCCAGAAACGGCACAACGTGGCCAGTATTCTGGGGACATCCATTTCTAAACCATAGCAAGATTGAATACTAGCCACCTGTGTATAGATAATATCCCTGGGTCACATTCGTAGCTCTGGTGTTCTGGGGGGGAAATCTTGTGTCCCCGTTTTGAGATGAGTTGAGTGCTTGTTCCAAATGCCCATTATGGCCTATGGTCCAGTTTTCCCTATGAATGAAGGGTTTAAGTGTTGGCGTATCATGGCAGTCTACTTCCAGGCTTGTTTGTTGAACTAAGTACACAAGCACTGGAATAATAACTCAAACAGTGAGTACATTTTCACTCTTACTCCTCTGCACCTAACTCTGTAAGTCCCTAAATACGTGTATTCAAGGGAGTGTGTGCTTCTTTCCAATACCTGCCTTGTGTGATGGGGTATGATTGCACAATCATGGCTTCGAGGCAAGTCCCATAAGCCTTCCAACCTCCAGCCAGACTGTCCCTGTCAAGGCCCTTCTGTGTGGAAATTCTGGAGTCCATCTGCTTGTAGATCCCCATAAAGAACTCGGTATATATCTAAAAAGCAATGTCATCTGCTGACCAAATTTCCCTTTGCTAAATCTACCCTGATGCTTGTCAGGAAAATTAACTGAAGACCAGAGATGGTACAGAGGAGACCAGCGAAGAAATGTCTGCAGCACACGGGAGAGAGAGGATGGAGAGGTGGCTGAGACGCAGCAGTCAGGGAGATGGAGAAATGTGTCCATAAATAAAGTTTTATTGGAACACGGCCATGCTCATTCGTTACTATCGCCTGCATTTGCTTTCACGATCCAGTGGCAGAGTTGAAAAGTTGAGTCAGAGTCTGCATGGCCCTGCAAAGCCCAAAACATTTACTATCTGGTTCTTTACAGAAAAAAGCCCACTCCAGGTATAGAGCCTAATGGTTCAGGACTTTGTGTGGACCCAGCTTCAAGGAAAATTCCACAGAGCCCCTTCCAACGTAGCTGGCGCCCCCAAATTTCTCTAGAAAGAAAATCTGGGGTCACTGTGGTGGTTTGTAGGCTGTCATGAGGAGGGTGGAATTTTTTCTAAGACCAACAGGGATTTCGTGAAAAGGCATCAGCAGGAGGTGGCTTGACCATGTTTTTGCGGTGATCTGAAGAAGAGATCAATAGGGCAGGCGGATGGAACACCTGTTTCTGAGGCAGAATCAACAAGACTTGGGAATCGATGGACTGGCGGGCTCTGGAGACGGAGAGTTCGCATTGACGTTCATGTTTTATCCAGGACAGACAAAGGACAGTTTTCAGGCGTGGTGAGTGAGATAAAACATTTTGTGTTATTCGGACTAATTGTAATTGTTTCTTTGTGTCCTGGAAAATTTCCTGTTTACTAGAAAGTTTTCGATTATATACATGAGTTGGACTATATTTTCTATTGGGTAGCACTGGTTTAAAGAGAATCATGACCCAACTTTCTGATTGACCAGGTTTTTTGTAAATGATGTGACCGTATTTGAAATGTGATGAATTCTAAGTGGGTTTTTTTTTTTTAATAAATTTATGGAGGTGAAATTCAGATACTGTAAAATTAACTCTTTTAAAGAATGATTCAGTGTCGTTTAGTGTTACCAGGTTGGGCAACCATCACCTCCACGTAGTTGCAAAGTCTTTTATCATCACCCCAAAAGGACCCCTCCCCCGGAACCAGCTAAGCAGTCCCTCCCTCCCCAGTACCCCTTCCTGGCATTTGAGTGTGTGCGGAGCTTAGAAGCTGGTTGGAGATGGGGAGAAAAAGGAGAGACGTCAGGAGGCAGATGTGAGTGTGGCAGGGAGTGTGGGGAGAGGGGCTATCTCAGGATTTAACGGGGAGGGAATATCCAGAGACCCGAGGGCTACATGGGAAGGTCTTTCTTATCCGATGGGAAAAAATGGGGGGAACATGGTCAACCCTGATAAGGCGTTAATCAGGTTGATCAGCCGTGCAGACCAGTGGTTCTCAAGCTGGACAAGTGCCAGACGCACCTGGAGGGTTCATTAAAGTCACAATTCCCTGGGTGCTGCCCCTACTGCTGCATGGAGGGGCCACATTATGCACCACTGTATGCAGGTGCTGGCTGGCCAGGGCCGCTCAGCCTCCCCACGTACTCCTTCCTCTCCATCCCCACGGGAATTAGATTCTCCAAATCATACTTTTGTCACGGGCTGTGTGTGTGTGTGTGTGTGTGTGTGTGTGTAAGATTTTCAATCACAAGAAGCTGCTCTGAAATTAAGAGCCACAGTTAGGGGGGAGGGGAGGCGTCAGTCCTGCCGAAATCCTCCCCATCCCCCCCACCAGGCAATTTTATTATCAGCAACACCGCTTTGTTCATGCTGGTACCTGCTGGCTTACCCGTTGCCATGGAAACTGCAGCCCCGCGTGGGAGGGGAGGGAACAGTGGAACTGACTGGAATTTTCCAGGCTGTAGAGGTAAACAGGTACAGATTAGGGAAAAAAAAAAAACCTCCCAGCATGTAGTTGTCATGTCTGTATGATTCTTGAAAGAGAGATCAGCAAGTCTAATGATACTCGCAGAACAGTCTTCACTGAGGGGCAGGAATCCAGGCAGTGGGCATTTGATTCCAGCGGACCCCCCACTCATTTAGCTCCTCTCACTAATTGAATTATGGAAGGTGGAAGCCAAAACAGCACCTAAGAGCTGTAAACAAGCAAAGAAAAAAGATCGTTTCAGACAACTGCCGAGCAGAGCATATCTCTCATCTCGGGGAGGTGTGATTGGCAGCTTGGAGGTGTTGAATGCCTGGCATCCTTTTGTGTCTTCCTTCCATTATGCAGAGGTCGTGTTCTTGAGACGTGTTCGTGTTGAAACTCGGGGCTCTGATTAGTCTCATACATGGCTACAGTATGCTATGATGTGCATACCCTCTCTTTCACGTGTCCATTCTCTCTCTTTGGGGAAGAGTTGGATTTCGCGGTCCCACCGCAGGTGTTTGCTCTTACAAAGCAACATTCAGGAAGTTGGCCCACAACAAGTATTTGTCAGATAATCACCGTTGCTCTGTCCCCTCTGGCATTTGTCTCCTTGCTCACAGATGGAGAGTTTCTCCAGGGTATTTGTCCGGGAACGAAATTAGCAGCTGCTACGAAATGCATCGTTTCAAACTATCTGTATATTCCTCTGTCGCTTTCCGGATGGGTAGTTTGTTTTCTGCGTCTCCCACTAAGAGGAAGCCCCACGAGGGCAGAGACGTGTTCTGTCTTTGGTCTCCAAAGCCTTCGGAGTGTCTAGCAGATAGAAAATGCTCAGTACAGTTTGTAGGTGATCATATATAAATACTGAGTGAGTGGATTATTTTTGCAGAAAAGTGGGTTTGTGGCCCATATGTGAGTTTTTATCCTTTTTCTTGTAACATGCTCTCAGGACATTAAAGATTCTTTTAAAAATAGCCTTTGTTTTTAAAGAATTGGCTCCGGACATCCTTGGGGATATGTTTTATGAACTTGTTTTTCATTTCTTGCGTTCATAGACAATGTTATCCTATCCTAACCCCCATGTAGGTGAGTGGCTGGTGTGTGGGTTCAAATGGGCAGGAGTAGATTCCCAGATGTGAAATTATTGGATCAAAGGACACGTGCATTTTAAACTTTTGCAATCATTGCCAGAATGTTTGCCAGAAAGGATGAACCACTGTGTTCTCCCACAGCCGGCTGTGAAGATGTCCAGTTTTTCACCCTCTTGTCAACCTTGGGTGGTATCAGGTCTTCCATCTTCGTCTGCCTGCTGGGGGTAATGACATTTCATTTCGGTTTCAAAGTCGGTTTTGGAACACAGGCAGGTGTTATTTAACATTGGACTGGGAGTAGATCCAGGTTCTGTGGGGCCTGAAGCTTTACAATTTGGGGGACCCTCTTTGAGGAAAAGAATACAAAATGACAAATATGAAAACTTGGTACAGATGTGAAAATTTATTTAGAATCTGTACAGAAATCACAACAAATCCCTCACATCACCACCGCAAGTTGCTCAAATACTATAATGTATCACAAAATAAAACACATGACATAGGGGCGCCTGGGTGGCTCAGTTGTTGGGCGTCTGCCTTCGGCTCAGGTCATGATCCCAGGGTCCTGGGATCGAGCCCCGCATCGGGCTCCCTGCTCGGCGGGAAGCCTGCTTCTCCCTCTCCCACTCCCCCTGCCTGTGTTCCCTCTCTCGCTGTGTCTCTCTCTGTCAAATAAATAAATAAAATCTTTAAAAAAAAAAACGACATAAAATGTTTTATTAATTAGCTGATTGATACATCTCTGTGATACTTTTTCTCCTATGTGGGTTTTATTTTATTTTATTTTATTTTAACTGCACACTCATCTGTTACTTCCTCTTACTTTGTTAACAGAATTCTTCTTAGAAAAATGTAGCCTTTGGTCTAGGATGGTCATACAAAAAGACTTTTATGAGGTACCTAAAGTAGTCAGATTCAGAGACAGAGTAGCATAGTCATGACCCTGGGGTGGAGGCCGAGGGGAAATGGGGAGTTAGTGTTTAAAGGGGACAGAGTTTTAGTTTTGCAAGATGAGAAAGTTCTGGAGGGGGGTTGCAACAATGTGCACGTAATTACGACTGACATGTACACTAAAAAATGGTTAGGATGGTAAATTTTATATTATGTATATCGTACCAGTTAATTTTTTTTTTTAAATGAGATGAACCTAAAGAGAGAATGTGTCACTGTTGCAAAACGCAGAGATGGGGGTCAATGACCTCAGGACCCGAGAGGTGGCTCTTTCACTGCCGAGATTAAGGGAATGAGTGGCATATGGTACATTCCTGCAGATTTATCAGTGTTTGTGAAGAGAGTTGTTCAAATTTCACAACAGCTGCATTGTCATATGCTGACCAAGAATGTTGTTCATGGTGCATTACAGTCATTTAGAATTTGTTTCACTTTGTTGAATAACATCTCAGATAGATGGTTTTCAAGACCCAGAAAAGTACCCCCCTTCGGCCCCCCAAAATCTCTCATGGATTTTTATATTATGACAAACCAAGTAAATCCCCATCTCATCAGTCCCTGTCACATTCCTGCAGAATCCTAAAGCTGGAGTGACATTTGGCGTCTGGCTTAGAGTGCTTGATTTGCCACTTCCTTTTGTGAGCGGTTCCCCCATTATTTTAATGTGTTCTTTATATACGGTTTTGTTTAAATAAGGCACATTAGTTTTCTCACTTTGACTTTTTTCCCCCTAAGTGCGCATGATGAGTATAGTAATAACACCCATGAAATTTTTGTTAGCTGGAGAATAAATATTCCTTCTTGTCGGGTCTAGTGCATCTTTATTTGAATAATGAATCATCTGAGTAAACACAGCCTGCTGCACTCGATGCAAAATCTCCATCATCTGTATATATTTACCCAGTTTGAAAACCTATTTGATGCAAGTGATGCTATCCCAGTTGAAAACCTTTTACAAACAAAACAGTGATAGGAAAACTTCAGTGCTCAAAAGGACTAGGCTGGATCTTGTGACGGACTGTGTATTGTCATTGTTCAGTGGACTCTTTGCAAATACCACCGAGCTCACACTTTGGGGGAGAAACACACAAACACCAGTTTTTCAACGGTGTTGAATATTGCTCATCACCACAGAGCACAGGGAAAGCTCGTGGTCCTTATTAAACACAGTAGATGAAACAAAGCTAGTGCGCACCTCCTTACAGGTTTTTTTTTTTTTTTTTTTTGGTGACCTGAAAGTTGTGTTTTTTTATTTGCTATTGTTTCCAAGTTTCTTTCTGCTTTTAATTTCCTATTTGGAAGAGGTCTGGTTCTTATAACAAGAAAAAAATGCCTTGTGCAGTTGTTTTCATGATCTGCATCTCTTTGGCTGTCATGATTCTTTTCCTTATCATTTGATTCTGTCTAACAGCGTTTTTAGTTACTTTCATATTTTGAAGACTCTGCCAGCCTTCTTTCTTTCGGACTGAAATTTGGCGTCCACCAGCATACTTCCTTTTTTGGCACCTTTGAAATCCAATGTGACTGAGAAAGAAACCTAGACAAGTTTGATCTGGAATTCAGTCATACACAAGATCAGGTGCCACGCTTTTTAAAATTGCCGTTACGTTGCATTGGGACGTGCGGGACGACTGTGCAGACAACTGTTTCGCTGTCGCAACCAATAAGTTGACGGGTTGATGAATGTGGGCGGGAATCGTGTCCTTGAGGCGTCTGCTTCCTTGGGTAACTTCTCTGTACCGCAGGGAATGTTATGTGACGCTTTGGCCGGAGCCACGGCCTCCCTGAGGATCAGACGCCT